AGGAGACTCGCTTGAGCCCAGGAGTTGGAGGTTGCTGTGAGCTGTGATGCCATGGCACTCTACCCAGGGGGATAGCTTGAGGCTCCATCTAGAAAAAAAAAAAGAAGAGTTATTTGAATTATTATACTTTGCCATCAGCTGAACCATCACATGCTCCCATTTGGTAAAATGTTAATTTATCTCTCATATTTTCTATTTCATTAACTTTTATCTTGATTTTTTTTTCTTGAGTAGAAAAATAGTATCACCAATATAATATAATAATGAATGTTCTAGATTCTTTTATGATGTTATGGTCAGATTAGGAAATCATGATGATGGTGGTGGGTTTTTAAGATCCCATTGTGAGTATTCACAGGCAACTTAATTATTAGTACAACTCTTGAGAACCTACCCATATAATTTTCTTTTTAACAACTTTGTCAAGATATAATTTTATTCCGTAAAATTAATCTGTTTAAAGTGTACAATTCACACCTGTGGATCAAGGAGTAGGGCGCCTGCCCCACATGCCGGAGGTGGCGGGTTCAAACCCAGCCCTGGCCAAAAACTGAAATAAATAAATATATAAATAAAAGTGTACAATTCAATGGATTTGCAATAAATTTATAGATTTGCATAACCATCACTACAGCCCTTAGGCAACCATTCATTAATCTGCTTTCTATCTCTATGGATTTACCTATTCTCAACACTTCATATCAAGTAAAGTCTTGTAATAATAAGTAGTTCTTTGAAATTATTGTAGTTTTTCTTCTGCTAGCACATCTGTATCCAGGGAACCTGGCAGTTACTTTCCTAAAATGTGCTAACTGGCAAAAACAAAACTTTAAAAAATATATTTTTTATTTTTACAATATTGTATACACTTTGGGATCCATTTTAGATTATTTAATTGAAGGTGAACTTTGAGTTGATTGTTGAAAGAAACAAAATTCTTTTTTTTTCTTTTTTTTGAGACGGAGACTCAAGCTATCCCCCTGGGTAGAGTGCCATGGCATCACAGCTCACAGCAACCTCCAACTCCTGGGCTCAAGCGAGTCTCCTGCCTCAGCCTCCAAAGAGCTGGGACCACAGGCGCCCGCCACAACGCCTGGCCATTTTTTGGTTGCAGCCATCATTGTTGTTTGGCGGGCCCGGGCTGGGGATTTCAACCCACCACCTTAGGTGTATGTAGCTGGCGCCTTAGCCGCTTGAGCCACAGGCGCCGAGCCAAGAAATTCTTAAAGCTTTGCTCAAAACTTTTTAGTGGAAGGTTTCTTGTTGTTTTTAGTAACCATAAAAAGGTCAAAAAGTTTTGAGTGATTGCCTCCACCCTCCTTTTGTGCTAATTTCTGCCAGGAGAGGGTTCAGGTTCAGGGTGGGAAGTAGTTAAGAAATTTCAGATAGTGGCCAGGCATGGTGGCTCATGCCTGTAATCCTAGCACTCTGGGAGGCCAAGCAGGGTAGATCATCTGAGCTTAGGAGTTCAAGACCAGCCTGAGCAAGAGCAAGACCCTGTCTCTAAAAAAAAAAAAAATAGCCTGGTGTTTTTTACCAGTTGCCTGTAGTCCCAGCTACTCAGGAGGCTGAGGTAATAGAATTGCTTGACCCTAAGAGTTTGAGATTGCTATAAGCTATGACATCAGGGCACTCTACCAAGGGCAACAAAGTGAGATTCTGTCTCAAAAAAAAAAAAAAAAAAAAAAAAAAAATTTTTTTTTTCATATAGTCAGCACTTGGTAATAGGTAAGGATTGTTACTGTGGCCCTCCCCTAGACTTTGGTTATAGCCTCTAGTCTAGTCTCTTGGGTGTGATGTTTTTCCATTTCAATTTCACAAGGGTGTGTTGAACTAGATCATTTGTTAGAAGTGGCCGTAGAATGGTTACATATTCATAAACTTAACAACTTTTACGCCCATCCTTTCCACAATTGAATGTTTGCTTGTTATGTGGCCTTAAGATCCCAGCCAATAAGATGAGGTGGTTCACGCCTCTAATCCTAGCATTCTGGGAGGCCAAGGCAGGTGGATTGCTTGACCTCACATGTTCCAGACCAGCCTGAGCAAATGTGAGACCTCCGTCTCTAAAAAATAGCCAGGCTTTGTGGGGGGTGCCTGTTGTCCCAGCTACTTGGGAGGCTGAGGCAAGAAAATTGCTTGAGCCTAAGAGTTTGAGGTTGCTGTGAGCTGTAACACCACAGCATTCTACTGACATTAACAAAATGAGACACTGTTTCCAAAAAAAAGAAAAAAGATGAAGTAGGAGGGATTACCAGCTAGAGAAATCTGGTGGATCTGGACTGACTGGGACAATTGAGTTGCAGTATACGTCTCAAAGAAATCATAGCAAAGCAGTTACTTCTTTGGTATGAGAGTCAGGAGGTTTTGGAACACTGTTTGGGATATTTGTTATAGATACTACTTTTGGGTTAAGAAAGGTTTCCTTTTATATCATAGCTGTTAGCTCTGGAAGTACATCAAGTTGTTTGTATTGATGAAGTTCAACTCGAAGGGATCTTGTGTGACATATGTCCTAATGTAACGATACCGGCTATATCAGTTTCAATTTCTATTTAATGCAGAGAGAGGCCTTTAAAAATGATTTAGATTATCAGTGTTAGTTTCAATTTTGACTCCTGTTTGGTCATCAAGGAACATTGATAGACATTATGCTCAGTATTCCACTCACCAGAGAGTTAGCCATTCTGTCTACCTGTGGGCATAAAAGTGCTCCTGACATAGATAATCTTCAGTTCATGGTTTGCAGACATTCTTTTTGGAAAGAAGAAATTGATAATTTTATTAAAATGAAATGTTTTATTCAAATGTAGATTTTCATAGAACAATTTTAAAACCACTTCTTATTTCCCAAGTATAAGTACTCTTGACTACCATCTATTTTCCTTTCTTTTTCCATTAGCTTTTTGACTGTGGTGCTGGACAGGCTGAGGTATATGTTGTTGGGTAAAACATGCCTGTTTTCTTTCTTTCCTGACACCAGAGCTGTCTGATGTATAGTAATACAAAACTGCATTACAGGTTCTGGCTCAGACTCCTTGGATTTGGAAGCTTTAAGGGACTTAGGCGATTACCCAGGTTAAACCTTTCAGGAGCCAGCTGTTCCTAGTGGTTTGATGAGGCCTTAGGGAGGAAATAGAGAGAAGAAAAAGCAGTAGCCCTGTGCTTAGTTAAAATGCCAAGAGGGGGAAAAAAAAGATTTTTTTGATGGAGGAACCAACAAAGATAGCAAAAGGCGTCACCAAGTGAAGCTGGAGTACATTAAATGACTAAAGAGTCTAGTGGGGTGGTACTTGTGGCTCAAAGGAGTAGGGCGCCGACCCCATATGCCAGAGGTGGTGGGTTCAAACCCAGCCCCAGCAAAAAAAAAAAAAGTCAAGGAGTAGGCTCGATACCTGTAGCACAGTGGTTTTGGTGTCAGCCACATACACCGAGATTGACAGGTTTGAACCCAGCCTAGTGGCGGGTTCAAACCCAGGCATTGTGGCGGGTGCCAATAGTCCCAGCTACTTGGGAAACTGAGGCAGGAGAATTGCTTAAGCCCAAGAGTTTGAGTGGTGATGCCACAACACTCTCCTGAGGGGGGAATGGGGACCCTTTTTCAAAAAAAAAAAAAAAAAAAAAAGAGTCAAGGAGTGAAGCTGATTTCAGACAGGAAAAAGATCAGTCAGTAATGGCAAATGCAGCACATAGGAAAGGAAGCTATTGGGCTATTTGCTCAGAGAGAGGCTTTAGTAGAAAATGGAAATAGGGGCCCACACCTTCAGCATGGGAGACAAAGATGTGAAGATCTATTGAGCTTGGGAGTTTTGAGACCAGCAGAGGCAACATGGTGAGAGCCCATCTGTACAAAACATTAGCCGGATGTAGTGGCACATTCTTATAAACTTAGCTGTTACAGAGACCAAGCCAGGAAAATCACTTGAACCCAGGGTTTGAGGTTGCAGTGAGCTATGAGCACACCACTACATTCTAGCCCCAAGCAATAGCAAGAATTGTACCCTCATATGTGGTAAGGTACAGAAGACAAAGGCACCTAAACAGTTGGGCAGTCCTCAAGCAATTCAGACAAATTTGTACTTCACAAAGTTTGTGAATAGGTTTATAACTCCGTAGTGACTGCAAGAAGCAATCTGTGTTCCCCCATAATCATTGTGCTTCCTGCTAGAGTATTTAGGGGTGGGTTGGGAGTTACCTGTTATCAGTAGGTTATTGATGGTTTGGGGGTGGAATGGGTGGTAACTCTCAGAAGGAAGGTGGTAATTGCTCGTGTATCACTTATTCATAATTACCTTTAGAAATAGGTTGAGATTGGATAAAATAGACCAGATTACAAGCAGAGTTGATGTTACCAAATAACTGGTAGAATTTGATGGTAGTCCTTGATCATTATCAAATCTGAAATTCTTATTTTTATACTTTAATGGAATTTAAAAATATTTCATGTGAAAACATAAGTCATTGCTATAGGTTAGACATCTCCAAGTATTGTGTATTTCCAATTCTCCTAACCCCCCTCTAAGAGATTCTTCATAAAAGCAGTTTCGTTTCTTCCAAATTTCCCTCTTGCTTGGGGAAAGTTATCCTGAGAGAAATCTGGCCACAGAACAATAATCTCTCTCTCTCTCTCTCTCTCTCTCTTTTTTTTTTTAAAGAAACAAAGTCTTATTTTGTCACCCTTGGTAGAATGCGGTGGCATCATGCTCACAGCAACCTCCAGCTCTTGGGCTTAGGTGATTCTCTTGCCTCCCGAGTAGCTGGGACTACAGGCACACGCCATGACACCTGGCTATTTTCTTGCAGTTTGGCTGGGGCTGGGTTTGAACCCACCACCTTCAGTATGTGAGGCCAGTGCCCTACTCACTGAGCCACAGGCACGGCCCCAGTAATCTCTTTTTAACTATCTTAAAATTTTCATAGGTAAAAGAAGATACAACATTAAACTATGGAAAACTTTCACAGACTGCTTTAACTGTTTACCGATAGCAGCCATCGTGGATGAGAAGATATTCTGCTGTCATGGAGGT